CGGGGTCTCGGGGGCCGGCTCACATGATCAAGCAGCATTTGCAACGCTGCTTCTTCATGTCGAGGTCCTGGGGGTCGCTGGTGGTGGCCTCGGGCCCGGCCTGATTCTCTTCCCTGGAGCCAGCCTCTGCGGGAGGCTCGGCGGCACTGCCGTTGGGCGGCGCGGGCTCCTTGGGCTCGGCCGCGTCTTCGATGACCACCAGCTCTGCCGTGATGGTGTCTTGAAGGCCCAGCACCTTCTTGGTCTCGGCCTCATCCTCTACGTTCTGGTAACCCATGAAGATCATTGTGACCGGGGGCTCCTGGCCGGGCTGGATCCCCGGCGGGCCGGACGTGGCCTCGCCTGGCTGTGCCTGCACGCCGGTGATCTCCCGTCTGGAGGGCGTGGTCCGGGCTGCCTCCTCCACAGCGCCCCGGGTCTCTGCCGCCCCGGCCGTGGACCCCGCCTCGCTCAGCGTGACCTCGTCTGCTTTGTGGATGAGTTCGTCCACCTCAGAGGAGCTCAGGGGGTGGATCCCGTTCTCGGCGGTGCCGTCCACAGCATGGACCACTGTACAAGGAGAGAGAGAGAGAGTGACCTGGCTCGAGGCAGGAGGGACACCTGGGCAAGGCTCGTATCCTCCTCGAGACTAAACAGGAAATCACGAACTAGATTACACCTTCAGAACTGACAATTAAAGCCCCTGCTGGCATCTGTAGATGCAGCCAAAGCGGTAAAATGAGGGAAAAAAAATTTTTTTTTTGGGACAGAGTCTCACTCTGTCGCCAGGCTGGAGTGCAGTGGTGCAATCTCGGCTCGCTGCAAGCTCCACTTCCCGGGTTCAAGCGATTCTCCTACCTCAGCCTCCCAAGTAGCTGGGATTACAGGCGCCCGCCACCATGCCTGGCTAATTTTGTATTTTTAGTGGAGACAGGTTGTCTCCATGTTGGCCAGGCTGTTCTTGAACTCCCAACCTTAGGTGATCCACCCATCTCGGCCTCCCAAAGTGCTGGGATTACAGGTGTGAGCCACTGCACCCAGTCAACGATGAGGAAAATTTATAGGCACAAAAGTATTTATTAGGAACCGAGAAAGAGTGGAAAGGAATGAATTAGGATTTTTTAAACATTTTCTGAGATGGAGTTGCCCAGGCTGGAGTGCAGTGGTGCAATCTCAGCTCACCACAACCTCCACCTCCCTAGTTCAAGTAATTCTCCTGCCTCAGCCTCCTGAGTAGCTGGGATTACAGGCGTGAGCCAACATGCTTGGCTCATTTTTTGTATTTTTAGTAGAGACAGGCTGGTCTCAAACTCCTGACCTCAAGTGATCCGCCCACCTCCCCCTCCCAAAATGCTGGGATGACAGGCGTGAGCCACCGTGCCCGGCCTGTAATTCCATATCCTTTAGCCAACTAGCTCCCACAAAGTAAGGATTCTTTTCCATCGTAAAGATAGCAAAATTGAAAGTTCAAAGAAGGGGCACGACTGGGCCAAGGTCACAGAGCTAAACCTCTGTTCCTTCCCCGCATCGAGACCTGTTTCTCTTATACAAGACAGGACTATCCACCCTGGGGAACTGGAGGTTACACGTTACAGGGATTCTTTTTCTTTTTTTCTTTATTTGAGACGAGTCTCGTTCTGTCACCCAGGCTGGAGTGCAGTGGCGCAATCTCAGCTCACTGCAACCTGCACCTCCCTAGTTCACGCAATTCTCCTGCCTCAGCCTCCTGAGTAGCTGGGACTACAGGCGCCCACCACCCCATCCGGCTAATTTTTTGTGTATTTTTAGTAGAGATGGGGTTTCACTATGTTGGCCAGACTGGTCTCGAACTCCTGACCTTGTGATCCACCCGCCTCGGTCTCCCAAAGTGCTGGGATTACAGGTATGAGCCATTGCACCCAGCCTTTTTTCTTTTTTTTTTTTGAGACAGAGTTTTGCTCTTGCTGCCCAGGCTGGAGTGCAGTGGTGTGATCTCAGTTCACTGCAACCTCCACCTCCCAGGTTCAAGCAATCCTCCTGCCTCAGTCTCTAGGGTAGCTGGGATTACAGGTACCTGCCACTACACCCAGCTGATCCTTGTATGTTTAGTAGAGATGGGGTTTCACCATGTTGGCCAGGC